AGTAGCAGCAGTAGCACCGGCAGCAGCAGTAGCAGAAGCAGCAGCGGCAACAGCAGCAGTAGCAGCAGCAGCAACAGCAGCAACAGCAGCAGCAACAGCAGCAGCAACAGCAGCAGCAGCAGCAGCAACGTGCATTGCACCTCTGGAGGGATTATCTCCAGCATGCGGAAGACGAGGCACAGCAACGCATTCCACTGGGCTGCGCTGTAACGAGCAACAGCTTGCTGCTGCTGTTGCTGCTGCTCTTGATGCTGCTGCTGCTCTTGCTGCTGTTGTTGCTGTTGCTGCTGCTGCTCCTCCTCCTTCTCCTTCTTTAGCTGCTGCGGCCCCTGCTGCTGCGGTTGAGCTGCCATTTCTGTTGTTGTTGTTGCTGCTGCTGCTGCTGCTGCAGATGTCCCTTCTGTGTGTGCAACAACTTCGCTCAGCAGCAGCCGCAGCAGCCTATTTCCCGCTGCACCATGGCTAGCAGCAGCAACTCCAGCAGCAGCAGCAGCTGCAGCAGCTGAACTATCGATATGAGCTGCTTCCTGCAGCTCTATGAAGCGACGCCTTGCCGTACGAAGACGCGTTAAAGCCTCCAGTGCTGCAGCAGCAACACACACGAGCAGCAGCAGCAGCAGCAGCAGCATCAGCAGCAGCAGAGTGCTGTCTCTCTCAATCTCTTGTCTCTCTGCTGCATTCTTTATGTTTATCTGCTGTCTCCTTTCTTTTTCTTGTCCTTGTCTCTGTCCCCGTTCTTTGTCTCTCTCTTTACAATAAGCAGCAGCAACTGTCTCCTTTTATTGCTTCTGTCTCCCTCTCCAGTGTCTCCTCACCTGCTATTGCTTCTGTCTGCTCTTCCTGCAGCAGCATCGCCCCTCCCTGCTGCTGCTGCTGCTGCTGCTGCTGCAGCTGCTGTACAGGACACGGGTCAATGCTGCATTCGAGGAGAGCTGGCAGCAGAAAGGGCCCCACATGACTCAAACATTCCGCGCCCCACAGCTGTACGTACACCCCAAATCCTATAAACCCTAAACCCTAAACCCTAAACCCTAAACCCTAGAGGGAGCCGCAGAATGCACTGTACAGATAGCTCATCTATATACACTTTTGGATTTGGATATAAATATACATGTATATATATATATATTTGTACATAATGAAGCATTTATATATACACGAATATACATATATATATATATATATTTATATACATGCATACGTATATAATATAATATATATATATATATTCTCTCTCTGTGTGTGTGTGTGTGCATAGCAGGGTCTGTTTGTGCTGGTGTTTTTGTTTGTTTGTTATTTATTACTATTATTATTGTTATTAATTTATTATTATTATATTAATTTATTCTTTATTATAACTATTTTAGTTGATTTGTTTTGTTTATTTGAGTGAAGGCTGCGTACAGAGACAAGACAAGGTCTAGTAGATATACAATTCTTTTGTTGTTGCTGCAGGGTTTGCAAACCCAGGAGAAAAATTGAGGTGTACAGACACCCCAAACCCGCAGCACAAAGCAGAAACAAACCCGAAAAACTCCAATCCCCAAACCAACCCCCTGAACAAACCACAAACCCTAAACCCTAAACCCTAAACCCTAAACCCTAAACCCTTGACCCCGCAAATATCGACACATTCTGTCACCAGGAAATCGCGAAGAAACGCAATGCTCAACCGACAAAGTACGGTTTAGGATTTAGGGTTTAGGGTTTAGGGTTTAGGGTTTAGGGTTTACCAGGCGCCAGTGCCTTCTGCAGCGGCGAGAGTGTTTCTTCTTCTTCCCAATTCATTTGACGAGTAGAGAAGGTCCTTAGGGGCCCCTCTGTTCTGAAGGGGCCCTCAAGGTAGGGGGGCCCCCCTTGGGTAGGGGCCCCCCTGCACAATGCAGGAGTGATAATGAGGGTGGGGGGCCCCCTCAACAGGGGGCCCCCTTGAGGTGTATAGACATCTGCTGCAGGAGATCTTCCCCAAAGGCAGCTAAGCCCCAGCCTCTGCCTCCAAACCCTTACCTCTGACAGGGGGCCCCCCTTGAAGGGGGGCCCCCAGCAGGCAGCTGCATTCTTTAGGGGGCCCCTCATGGGGGCCCCTTTGAAGGGGGGCCCCCAGCAAGCCCCTGCAATCTTTGGGGGGCCCTTCATGGGGCCCACCTCGCCGTACACCCCAACTGCAGCAAAAAATCCGAAGCTACTTATAGCAGAGACAGTTCAGTCGCTTCCCTGTTGCTGTGGAGCCCTGGGGGGCCCCCTAAGGGTGTGGGGGCCCCCAAGGGGTTCAGGGGCTCTCTACGGGTTGTTATTAAGGGGGCCCCCTCACAGGTATCTATATGCGTGTTGTTGAAGAGAAGCAGGCGAAGAAGAAAGGAAATTAAAAAATAAGTAAATAAATTTATGAATATTAAGGCGTTTAAATATAATACTTTATTTAAAAGAATGTGTAAAGAAGAAGACAGGGGCCCCCTTATGGGGGGCCCCTCCCTTAGTAGGGGCCCCCTAGGCCCTTGGGGGCCCCTAAGGGGCCCCCACTATATAGGAGTGCTTTACCTTTGGGGTTTATGTTTATAAATGATTTGTTTGCGTTTATAATTTAAATATTTTTTGCTTTTGTGCATACATGCTTCGGCAGGCCCAGCGAAAAGCCTGCCATCATCTATTACCCCCCTCGAGGTTAGGGTTTAGGGTTTAGGGTTTAGGGTTTAGGGTTTAAGGTTTAGGGTTTATGCTTTGGGGTTGGAGGGTGTCCACCTGCAAAGCAAAGAGGGAAGAGGGAGCTGCTATACTTTCTGGCCGCAGTGCGGCCTGCAGCCCCTTTGCTTTAAGGGTTTAGGGTTTAGGGTTTAGGGTTTAGGGTTTAGGGTTTGTAGATTTGTTGCTGGTGTATAATGAGTTTTGGGTTGTGTATATTTTATTAAATTGTGTATTTTTTCGTGCATAAGTTTATGTTGAAGCTTTATGAATGGTTTTAATATATAGAGTTAAATATTTAGATTTTAGGGTTTAGGGTTTAGGGTTTAGGGTTTGCGATGCCGTGTCGCGTGCGTTTGCACAGCGATTCTTTTGCTGCAATTCAGGATTTGTTTGCTCGTACAGATATTTACTTCAGCAGTGTGGGGCTGCTGCCTCTGCTGCTCCCTCTGCCTTTACAAGGCGAATGCGGGTCGCTAAAGAGAGGCCTCCTTCGTTCATTTATTTTCTCTTCTTCTCATATACATTCTTGTCTGCATGCAGCTCTCTCCCTTTCATCCTCTAAACTACACAATAAATACAAACCTACGTCCTCTGAGGCCCCCTCCACACCTACAAACACTCAAGGGGGCCCCTCTGCGGGCTCCATAGGGGGCCCTCAAGGGGGCCCCCCTGGGGGCCCTCATGGGGGCCCCTCTGGGGTCTCCCTAGGGAGCCCCCAAGGAGGCCCTCAAGGGGGCCCCTTAGGGGTCCCTGAAGGGGGCCCCCCTGGGGCCTCCTCAGGGAGCCCTCAAGGAGGCCCTCAAGGGGGCCCCTCAGGGGGCCCCTCAGGGGTCCCTGAAGGGAGCTGTTCATGGGGCCTTCGAGGGAGACGTCTAAAAGACCCCTCAGTGAGCGATTCAGGGGGCCTCCCAAGGGGCCCCCTTGGGGGCCCCTCTGGGGGTGATGAGGTGTATGTACAGGACCCTGTAGATGCGGCATTGCTACCTGCATTGATATTGCGAGAAAAGTTAAAGTTATTAGCAAAGGAGTTGGGGGTTTCAGGAGAAAATACAAAAAACTATGAAAAACCCTTAGTCAGTGATGAAGAGCTTGGATTACCAACATTAAGAAAGGTGAATATATATATAAGACATTATTTATTTATTTATTTATTTATTTATTTATTTATTTATTTAATTTATTTAATTTATTTATTTGTTTGTTTGTTTGTTTGTTTGTTTATTTTATTTATGTGGTTTGTTTCTGGTGTTTGTTTGTTTATTTATTTATATTAGTATGTCTCTTGTTTATTTATTCGTTAATATTATTTATTTCTCTTTTGTTTATTTATTTGTTTATTTGTTCAGTTTATTTGTCTTGTTTATTTGTTTATTTAAAAATATATAATTAATTAATTTGTTTAGTATTTATTTTATGGATGATAAATAAATGCATCAAATAAATAATAATAAATAAATTTATTTTATATTTCCTAATATATATATTATCAATAAATGTAAATAGTGTAGATAAATAAATAAATAAATAATAAATGTATGAAGAATAATAAACAAAGAAATAAATACAAATAATTGCTGGTTAATAAATAAATAAATAAAACAAAAATAAATAAATAAATAAATCAGAGGTAGACAGAGAGACAAAAAATTGATAAATAGAGAAGTATGCATATACATATATGTATAAGTGAAGTGATATATATAAATAATAAATATGTTCAGCAGCAGCAGCAGCAGCAACAGCAGCAGCAGGAGTAGGAGTTGTAAGTGTGATGTCTTTGCAGGTGTTGGAGTGTATAGACAGCAGAAGCACAGAGGGAGTATTGATGCTGCTATGCGAGCGTCGTTCATCTTCTTTTCCTTTGGGGCCTTTTTGTTTATCTGTAGATACGTTCGTGAATGCAGCAAACCGTCAGGTTGCAGAGAGAGAGTTGCTGCTGCAGCAAGAAATACAGCGACAACCCCCTATTCAAGATTTGGGGCTTGGTGTTATTGCGGGGGGTATTGCATGCATGAGTTTAAAAGGTCAAAGAGAGCTCCTCTCTATCTTCTGCATCGAACAACTCCCAGAAGACGCTCGCCACCAACTCGTACACAAACCCTAAACCCTAAACCCTAGTCCCACCAAACCCTAAACCCTAATCCCGCCAAACCCTAAACCCTAATCCCGCCAAACCTGAACGCCAATCCCGCCAAACCCTAAACCCTAATCACACCAAACCCTACAGCTTAGTCATTCCAAACCCTAAACCCTAATTTTTTCTGCATTTCTTCATCTGTAATAAATACAAATGTGATGTATATCGATTGAATTGTTTGCTTTAATATTATATATATAAATAATATAAATATATAAAAGCAATCGATATATAAAATATTTTAGTTGTTTTTGTTTTTATTTGCAGCTAAGGGTGTTGGCGGTGCGTTTACTGGCGGTGGGGTTGTTGTGGCCGAGCGTTTTCTGTAGCGTTGGGAGGAGTGAAGAAGATTCAATTAGAGTATCGAAGCCTCTTCTTATTCATTTTCCTCGTCCTGCATGCGAGTTTTTCTGTCTTTCTTCTGGTCTTCAGCTGTCTAGACACTTCGAGTGCGGCACAAATCCAACAACAACACCCCACACTGATCAGTGTACAGGTTGCATTTGTATTAAACGCATGCAAAGAAAACTCAATAATAAACACAAATCTATCAATACTACCACACACATACAACACCCAAATACTAACAACAACAACAGCAGCAGCAGCAGCAACAGCAGCAACAGCAGCAGCAGCAGCAGTAACGGAGATCAGCAACGCGGGGGGCCCCCACAGCATGAATGGGGCCCGCATCACAAGGGGGTCCCCCCTGAATCTTCTCAACAAGCTTTGTTCATAGAGGATACTACTAAAGAAGGGGTTCAGCGAGAATATCAAGGAGGCCCCCAAGGAGATGAGATCCAGCAAGAGGGCCCCCAAAGAGAAGGGCCCCTTGGGGGCCCCCAAACGGGGGGCCCCCAGGGGGGCCCCCAAAGTGGAGGCATCTTTGGGGGCCCCCAAAGAGAGGGGCCCCAGGGGGGCCCCCAACAAAGATCGATGAAGAGAACGAGAGATTCTGAAGAAAATTTGACTGAAGAAGAATGGCTAGAGTTTTGGGCTGTTAGTAAGCGGCGGTTTTATAATATTTGGCGGCAAAGGGCGAGCCAGTTGGTGCCTGAGACACCTGCGGCTTCGTTGATAGAAGCTGTAAGACCCTAAACCCTAAACCCTAAACCCTCGTACTATAGGGCCATGCATTGGAGAGGAATAGCGATTCATTTTCACTGGGAATAATACACAAAGCCTTACCTGCACTCTTTTTAAACCTTAAACCCTAAACCCTCTTCGTACACTGTGAAACATTGAGCTAAGCCCTGAACAGCACCACCCGTAAACCCTCATCAAAAACCCTAAACCCTA